GAAAGAAAGAAAGAAAGAAAGAAAGAAAGAAAGAAAGAAAGAAAGAAAGAAAGGAAGGAAGGAAGGAAGGAAGGTGGGCGGGGCAGGCAGGCAGGCAGGCAGCACCATAATTTTTGTTCTACCTACCGCTATGGCAGAGTTCCTACGGGAAGCCGTGGGGGTGGAAGGCAGGGAATTGAGTGAAGAACTAGCATTGAATTCTTCTGAACTGAGATTGTCTGAGGCATCACTGAGGCCACTGCTGATGGAACTACTTTCATCCCAACTGGAAGTCAGAGAAAAGATAAATGATTAGCAACATTTAGCACAAAGGTACTGCTATATAATCAAATGTATCATCCCCACTCAATAACGTACTGGAAGAAAAACCAAGGAGTATCAACTAACAATTGCAAAATAATAAATTGATCTACAAACAGGATGTTCCATCCTACTTCCTAAAACAAAAGCAAAGATAAAGTGGTAAGATTGGACTATGACTGCTTAGTTTAACTAAAATCACCCAGTATGAGCCAAATCTTAGTAATTAGTCCAAAGAAAAAGTTCCCAAAGACACTGAAATCCAATATTTGTGGAAGAAACACACTGATCCAGAGCACGAGCTCTTTGGCCTGGAACATCCCAAAGACATTGAATGTTCCAGGCCAAAGAGCTCGTGCTGTGGATCAGTGTGTTTCTTCCACAAATATTGGATTTCAGTTGCAATAATTCTCAGCTGCCAAATATTATAGTGAGTTGGGATTATAGGAGTTAGTCCAACACATCTGGAAGACATGACACTAAGGAAGGCTATTTTATTTATAGATTCATTGGACCTTAGCACTACTTTACTAACTTAGCTAAATAAAGTAGGGCAAACAATGCTAAGTGGATAGCTAGTTTCCATTATTTCCACTGATCATCTAGGAGGAGCAAAGATTATTCAAAATGCCAACACACACACACACACAAACTAATAAGCCAAATTTAATCTGGTTTGATTATATTGCAATAATTATCATTGTACTTTAATCACTAATGCAGACAGAAAATATAGAGAAATTCTATCTAAAAATGAGAAATGGCAAGTGGGAGAAAGATGATGAGGAACTATTGCCAACCTTTCCACATGGGACAAGGAATTCATGAACACCCTGAACAGGAAGAAGCTTCTTTCCAGCTCGGAGAGGCTGACAGGAGCAGGTGCTTGGGGGAAGGAAAAGCAATGTGTCTGTTTGTTTATCCCACTAAAAGGCTTCATTCATCTCTTCTGGTGTTTTACACATTAAACTCCAAGATTATTAGCCCAGATGCATTCAAATAACTACCCATGTCTGAGCTTCTCTTTAAAAAGGCAAGCTTTCCAAACATGTCTATGTGTCCTGTATAAAAAGGGCTAATTATCAAAGAGTTTAATTACTTGGTTATATGGGTCTATATTTAACATACAATATTGAGAGAGAAAAAACAATCTGATCACATTAGACAGCACACTTTTTATGTATGAATGAAACTATCACGGGTCCAAACCTACAAGTTTGAATTGCACTTCTCAATCATTATGTTCGCTCTCTGTTCAACCATTCAACAGATGGTGAATTATTGAGGGTGGGAGGATATTTCTAAATCAGGAGTCAGTGTAATGATTTGTTTTTATTTTTTTTAAAAAAATAGCAAACAATTTACAAACAGAACAAAAGGGAAATAATCCCACCATTTACAAAGAACAAATGTGGTAAAATGTTGAAATGTACTGACATATAACATGCTCAATAAAGTCTACTAATTATCTTCTTTACAGGAAATAAAATTTACTGATTCAATTTTATTTTACAGTGAAACCTTGACTTAGCAGACCTTGATACAATGGACTTTGAATGAAATAGATGAGATTCTGATTGCATTTGCATCATTTTATACCATGTGTCTATTTCCACTACAATGCAAAAAGTACACCTTGATGCAAATAATGTAGATTATGCCAGTTGCATGATGACAGGATAGATCTAAACTGTAATTAGTTTTGCTTAATTTTAACTTCTAGTTATGGACTAAAACTATAGCTTAATATAATCTGTTAACGTAGTTGTAGTGTATAAGCTAAAGTTTTTTGCTAAGTATTTTGTAGGAAATAGCCATTAAAGCTTATTCAACAAAACATGGTTAAACAGACTTAGCTTTAATATACTATATCATGTATGTCAAATTTGCCATGTCATGTTGATGTCATGTGATGTATCATAATGTTTTTTGCCTTCACATAACTGGGGTGGGCATGGCCTGTGTATGATGCATCTGGCCCATGGGCCACCAGTTTGGCTGTAATATGAAGCCAACTTTTGATTTGGGGACTGCATGAAAATAGAGGTAGCTTCTCAAATTGGTGCGTATCCCACTCTTAGAAACTAATAACTACCATTTCTCACCAAGATTCAGTCTTAAATATGTTCAGTTAAAATATATGCTCTATGTACATTTATTATTATTAGTGAATCAAATTTGAATTATACAGAATCACCACAAAAAATGTCTTGGGTGTATTAATGGGGATTCTTCTGTTGAGCTGTATTATTCCAATAAGGTTAAAAGGATTAATGGAGGTTTAACTCTTTTGTCCAACTGTTGGCATAAAGATGAAGTCTGTAAATATCCCTGTAAAAATGGGGGCCATTCTAGATTAATTTTATTTCCCTCTCTCTAATCACATAGTGGGTAGAAGTTGGGAGACGGAGGATGAGGAGCGAGTAAGCCTCTAATTCTATTGATAGAAATGCCAACACTGATTAGGCAAGGGCAACATTGATAACATATTGTTTTGCTTTAACAGTTTAAAAAGGAACAGGAAGTGATAGTTTATCAAACATATGGCAGCTTGGAAGCCATCAAAGATGGTCATTCCTGATTGACTAGGGCATCTGTGTGCTCAAAGTGCATAGAGCAATTTTCTCTGAGATAATAGGCAACTGGTTCAGCTGCATCACACAACGCTACTTAGGGGCTCTAGGTCAGACAGAAATTCAGTAGATAAAGAATTGCCCATAACTGACTGCATTTGTGCCCTGGGGAAAGCTGTACCAGTAATTTGTAGTTCACTTAGCTATTGCTATAAACATTGTGTTTTGAAATTTAAACAGACATATGCAACCATAGCTAACATAGGGGTGGGCGGGAGATAGTCGAAATAACTTTTAACAATTCATGGATAGTTCAGAATAAAATATCAAACAAACCCATTTAGGTTTAGGTTTAGGTTTTATTCAACTTGTATGCCGCCCTATTCCTGAGGGACTCAGGGCGGCTAACAAAACCAAGGGGGGGGGGGAAACAATACAAAAGGGAAGGCAACAGAAACAGACAACAATACAAAACAATTTGGTTAAGAATTCAACCTTTCTCTTCACTCACAGATCCCAACTCTACAAACCTATTTTGTTTTCTAAGTTTTTCCCCAAGGATTTAAATAAATAAATAAATAGTCCAAGGACAATTGGGCAACTGTCTATAAATATTTTGCTACAGAATTTGTCCTCCAGAAACATAATATGTGATGGTGAGAGGACTAGCTGGAATAACATCTCCTTAACATGGCACTTTTATACAGAAAAAGTAATAATAAAAAAGATTATTGTTCCATAAATCTTTCGCTGGTTCTCTTGTCGTTATCAAATCATTCCTGCTTCTGTTTGCTGCCTTTGTCTGACCTTGTTCTGGAATGGGGTTTCAGCCAGGGAAGTTGGCACAATCCAATCTTTCAACATCTGATGCAAACTGGACCACCTGGATTAACATGAATATTATTATCTGGGAAGATTTCACACTTCCCTGAAGCTTCCTGTGCAAAAATGTTATCAAACTGTGAATACAACTGTCTATATAAATTATGCGTAAAATAATTGAGAGTATAGTACTAGCTGTTTAGGTCATGCTTAAATATAAACTGGTGTAGATTTTTTTTTAATCATTGAATTGATCATAGATTAGAGACTGTTATAAACATTCGTGAAATAAATGTTCATTCACATTGGAAAAGATGACAACCGGAACCTGAATAAAGCTTCACCTTTTAAACTTTGACTAAGCTGTCCAATTGTAGCTTGAACTATTCATGCTTATTTGCAAGGACTCATCCCTAGATGTCACTTTGACTCTCTTCCTCAGGCAACAAATAAGTCTTGTTCATGAATATGATGCAGTGAGTTAAAACAGCTGAGCAGTAGGGACTAGGACTGAAGTGGTAGACGCAGCAATAATTTCATTTACTTGCTCTTTAAGTTCTTTCATGTTTTATAGCCTAAGAAATCAATATTCTAATAAATACTCAGTGTAGAAAATAAGGGGTACATTCTGAAAATTAAACAATCTGTAGGCCTTCTCAAGAACAAAACTCCTATGGATATCATCCCTAACCAAAATAAAGTGTGACATAAATGTTCTGTAGCTTTCTAACCCAGTAGTCCTCAACCTCTGGTCAGAGAATGATACCAGGCGGTGACCCATTGGGAACCAATCCGCACAAGTGGCTGGCGAGCTCGCAAAACTTCATTTGCAGGATCTAGGTTGCACATACAAAATTATCCCTACTCCCTGCCGCTGCTGATCCATGCAGTCAGAAAAGTTGGGGACTGCTGCTATAACAGGCATCATTGCTAAATCACATATCTGGGCAAATTTACTCTATCCCAAATTTTAAAGATTTGTTCTCAGAGTTATAGACCCTATCATAAAAATGATTTAATATTGTATATCAAGAGTTTTAACTTTTTTGCATTTATGAAGTATAAGTATATAAGTATAATCTTTATGTCATTGTACTTAAATACAACAAAATTGGTTTTAACCTCACTGGTGCAAAATTATAGCAGAAACAAAAAAGGAAGAAAAAGAAAAAACACTAGCGTGTGCATGGACTCATTGTAGTTGTATTTAAAAGTCTGACAGCCCAAGGATAGAAACTACCTTTAAACTTATTTGTTCGACTGGCTATACTTTGATGTCTTCTGCCCGATGGTAGAAGTGCAAAGAGACACTGACCAGGGTGTGAATGAAGTGACTTATCTATAAATATGTTTTTGCAAAAATTGTTTTTGATTATTTGAGTTTTATTCAGCTGGGTGAGTCCATGCACTCTGGGGTTCATCTGCCCATTAATTAAACAATGCCATCTTGCAGGATGTAACAAGCATTTCTGCTCTCCTGAAATTCCTGTCCTCTTCTTCCAAGTAATTGGTATGGCCTAGCCTTAGGACATTCAGAAGACTACTTTACACCTGGTTGTTCTCTTGGAAC